TCTTGGATCAGTATTGTCCATCAAGACCCCAAATGGTTATAGAATAATCACATGCCTTGATTTCGTCTTCTTGAAGTTTCGCTGGAAATGATAACGGTTACAAACAATAACATAAGTATTATGATTGATTAAAAACTCACCTCTATAATATGTTATATCGTGACTCCAGTAATATCATGCCTTCTGGAAGATATCGGGTATAGATTCGAGATACTCGGCAGGAAACTTTCTCTCACCTAATGTCAAGATCTTCTCAAGTCTTTGCAATTCATTTGTAGATAATACTTCTTCATTCATCAACCAGTCGTCATTTTGCTACAAAAAAAATTTCGAATGAATTAATAAGCATATTTTCATAGCAGGATACTATTAAATCCCTGTTATTTTGATTGAAAAATTGTTGATTCACTCACAATGACTATCGATATTTGGAAAGGTACCTACTTACCAAGGGAATTCAATGTTATACCTTCACCAGCTCTCTACAAGTTCTGCATTTGTTAGATATTTATATTCCAAGACATTTCCACCTATACACACTCGATAAAACATTCAGAATTTTCAAACTTCGCAGCTTAATGCCGTTTCGCCGTTGTGGACCTGTCATAATGATGTGAGCATGGTCAATAATGATTGAAGACTGAGGCCTGAGTTTTGGCAACAGGATTGCTTACCCTTGATTTCCGAGGGCATATTATTTTCTTCCAAAGAAATACCTATTCATAGACTTGAATCAAGTAAATGAAGTATTGAATCAAAATGTGGCTTCTTCAATTAGAGAAATTATTATTATCATCAAGTTCATCAAGTTGAAGATATTATATTCCTTTCATTTGAGAAAATTGATATTCATATCTTTGAATCAAGTAAATATGGCATTGAATAAAACTAACAGGAGTCTTCGATTTGATGAAATTATAATACCAATATGATGAAATTAAAATGCTTCATTTGAAGAAATAATTATTTATATTTTTGTTTCAAGAAAATGGCGTATTGCCTCAACATATTAGGTTTTTGCAATCCAAGAAAACTGAACATGTCATTCGATGAAATGGACATTCTTTGATTTGAAGGAATGTATACTTATATTCTTGGATCAAGCAATAAATTTATTGAAACAAAATAGTACGCTTCTGCGAATTGAAAAATCGTTTTGATTGAGTTGAAGTTATTAATTTAGTAATTCAATAATTACATTCTTGGTTTGAGAATATATTTCAATAATATGACACTATTCTCTTGAACATACCAGATTTCTCGACTCAAAAGAATATGCTCAATTCAAAGAAGATATACAATTGAATTTTCAAGAGAATGGGTTTTCTCATTCGAAGAAATTTTTTTTCTGTGTGTATGTTTTGGTGCTGAACCCCATATATGGAAACAGTATTCTAGAACAGGCCGTATCTGCGCTTTGTAGATCATGAGAAGCTGTTGAGGTGTGAAGTAACTTTTCGCACGGAACAAGAATCCGAGTTTTTGTTAAGCAGCTAGCTTTTGCGATGGATCTGACATGATTATCCCATGAAAGAGTGTTGCTGATGGAAATACCAAGCATAGATATGGTGAGCTTGGTGGAGATGGTGGTGTCAGGCATTACAATGTCGGGCATACTGAGTTCCGCCTTTCTAGAGAAAATACAGGCTTTAGTTTTGGTGGCGTTGAATTCAACTAGGTTGTTGGTTCCCCAGGCTGTGATTTCAACAAGGTCTTCATTGACAGCATTGACCTGCCTGCGCCGTGAGTTCTTAGTTTCCTGGGAAGAAATGGGAATTCTGGAAGAGAACGCAGTATGGAGGGTACTATCATCTGCAAAGCTGTGGATGGGGTAAGTTGTTACTCCCAACAGATCATTGATATGAAGAAGGAATAATGTTGGTGCCAAAATTGATCCTTGTGGAACGCCGGAATTGATGCCAATGGTATCAGACGATACACCGTCCACCACCACATAAAGCGATCTGCCTGAAAGAAAACTCGATAAGAGATGGCATAGCTGAGGTGGTGAGCCGTATGATGGTAGTTTGTGGAGGAGTCCTTCGTGCCAAACACGGTCAAATGCTCTCGATATGATTTGGTAGTCGATGGAAGTCTCTGCTCATTGGTAGTCTGGGTCACAAATGTTGTGTGATTTCACCCCTAAGTTAAACATTCTTCACATTTTTCATTATGGAAATCGTGTTTTCAAAACAAAGATACCTACTTGAGTATCATGATGAATGTTGAGGGCTAAATTAATTAGATGAGATTATTCAACGTTATTCGTGGTTGGAAACAGGAGTCCATTCCATATTAGTTGAAATTCGTATGAGTAGAATAGAATGCTCGTCACAATGTCATCGTTCCAGATTCACTGAGAATGCGGCAGAAGTTCTAGTTAAAACACCAAGTGGATGCCTTGCTACGGCGTGTGGCAATTAATTCCTCAGATATTTTCACAAAATTTCCCCAAATTTCCTCAGGTTTCATTCAAACCAAATTTCCCCAGAATATTTGAAAAATAGGAATTATTTCCTCAGACTTGAAGAACAAAACAACTTTTGTTTTATACATTTTATTCAATGGAAAAAAGTTACAACACAATACAATATCAGGAACTGCTGATGAAACAAATGTGTTTTTGTAAAAAATAAGAATGGGTAATATATTATACTATAATGTTGAAAGTTCCACATCAAATAGACATATCTTCATTGAAAACACAGTACCTACCTACAGATTGATTCTAATCATCATACATATCCTTATTTATTTTTTGGTATGCTATCTCAGGTATGACGTAATATAACAATTGTTATTACCTATCAATAATTGTTTCGATAAAAAAATACCTGATAAAGTATCAGGTGTCAGTCTATTTCTAATTTTAATCCTATTTAGATTCACAGCAAAAGAAATTTCCACACTGGCATTTCTATGTGGTAGAATAGTAGTATTGGAAACGAATTTTACTTCCACAACCGTTTGAAATATTGGACACATTTGTCCAAAATGTAATAGGTGTTGAGTCACTCACATCACCTGAATTATATTGACTATGTTCAAAATTTCCTCAACATTTTATTGAATTTCCTCATTTTCTCAAAATGTCCTTGTTGAATTCCTCAGACATATAATTTTTACCGTCATTCCTCCTCACTCTAGTTTTTACAATGGCTTTCAACCCTCTCTGCTTTACTCACAATTTCGGTTCCATCGTCCAGCGGCTCATCACAAAGTGTACAATAATTATTATCGTTCGGCATTTCAATTCACTAACGAAAAATGGAAGAGTATAGAAAATAGTACTAGACAAATTTTAATTTTCGTGCTAGATCCAGAATGAAGCGTAATTGATGTATATTTGTGATTTGAAGGGGAATTAAAAATGAAGGCATAATATAAATGTTGAGGAAGGAGGTTCAGGATACTCCATGGTGAGAAACACTATAGCCTGGCGATGTATACTAATTTAAAATCTGAAATACGAATATGTTGGTCAACTTAAAAACTTTTGTCAATTTTCAGGGCGCTCTAGCGGCTTTTATTTTTTTATGATGTATTTCTTCTCTAAATCACGTCGTTTCGGAGTAATGAGCAAAAAATCAAAATAAAGTCCCGAATTCTCATGATTTATTGCGATTTTCGTGGTGAAGCTATATTCGAATCTAGTCGATAACTAGATTTTCAGATTCAGCACCATAAAACCCAGATGAATCCGTCGAGAAAAAATCTTAAGCAATTTTTTCCTAAATCCAGTGCTTTCCGTCACCAAATGACTAGATTATTGGAAACAGGAGTCCATAGTTGAAATTTACGGAAGTGTAGAGGGCTCACGTGACGTTTTTTTAAAATAGACAGTTGTAACTGTCTAAATACACAGTTGTAACTGTCTAAGCTGAGCGGAGATCTGCGACTTCGCGTCGACGAACTTCCTTTTGCACTTTTGCCGCAATGTATAACTTCTTCAATCATTAGTTTCCCAAGATGGATTTTGAAAGAAGGAAAATTTCCCTCGTTTTTCCGAATATTTACACTTCCCTCGTTCTGAAACCTATCTCCAAGGGGCAAATATCTTTGTCGAGCCTAGTGTACCCTTCACTGAGAGTCTTTGCAAGTCTCTGGTAGTCTGGAAGTTTTTGGTCACTGGAAGGCATTTGTAGTTATTGGTAGTCATTGCTAGTTACTGGAATTCTTTGGTAGTCTCTGGAAGTTACTGAAAGTCATTGGTAATCCTTGTAAGGCTTTGGTAGTCATTGTAAGTATTTGGTACTCAGTGGAAGTCATTGGTATTCATTGTTAGTCTCCAAGTCTGTAACTAAATGAAAGTTACTGGAAGTCACTGCTCAAGATCGGTTATTAATGCTAGTCTCTGGAAGTTACTGTGAATCATTGGTAGTCATTGTGGATATTTGGTACTCATTGGAAGTCATTTGAAGTCGTTAATAGTTACTGAATAACAGAAAATCAATGGAAGTCACTTCAAGTAATTGGTAGTCATAGGTAGTCATGGCCATGGGTATAGATATAGGTACTGGAAGTTACTAGGAGTCAATGGAAGTGACTGGTCGTCATTGGTAGTCAGTGGAAGTATTTGTATTGTTATTTATGGTAGTCTTTGTAAATCTGTGGGAGTATTTGATATCATCTGGAAGTTACTAGAAGCTATTGGTAGACATTGGTAGTCACTTGAAGTCACTGGTCATCATTGGCAGTTATTGAACAACTTTGGTGTTCACTGAAAGTCTTTAATAGTCACTGGAAGTCTTTGGTAGTAAATGAAAGTCTTAGTTCATTGGAATTCAGGGGTACAAATGTAGTGTGATAATTCACCCTTCGCTAAAACATTGTTCACATTTTCATTATGAGATTCGTTTCTTCAAGACAATGATATTCGAATATCAAGAAGAATATTGTGTGCTAAATTAATTAGAGTTTTCGAAGTTGGAAACAGGAGTCTTTAGTTGAAATTTGTAAGAGTGTAGAATAGAATAACCGTTATAATCTCTCCGTTCCAGATTCGCTGAAAATGCTGGAAAGAATCTAGTTGAAAAATCGCCGATCCCAGTGGATGCCTTTCTACGGCTTGTGGCGCCCCAGGTGCTCCGCCCCTCTCCTGGTGGCGCTTGCCCTCGCTACGGCGACGCTGGTGGGCAGTGCGGAGATCTGCGACTTTGCGTCGACGAACGTTCTGTCGGATGGCGAGGTGGAGACGAGGCTCTGCTACAAGGGGGTGTGCGCCAAGGAGACCACCGTCGGGAAAGGGTGAGTCCACAATATTTTCTAGAGTGATCTTTGGTAACAGTCGATCCTGACCCTTTACCAGTAGCCATGAGCGTGCCACAGGAGAAGCGTCTGGGGAGTATACTTGCCGAGATACTTGTCTTAATTCCCTATTTTTCTCTTAGCTTCGTTCGTGGCTATCAAGTTCACTTATCGAAGCTTTTCTTGACGTTCTGATTCAAATTAGCAAAGTTTCGCACGTACTTTTGCCCCATACGAAAATGTAATGTCGCCTCGAATTACACAATCATAATTTCGGATTTATCGCTACTTTCCAACAATTCATGCCATCAAAGAGAAAATCAGTATTCTATTTTTCTTCTTTGAAAAAAATTGAACCACTTTGAAGGAAGGATGGTTACCATGACTAATCCATGCCATTTTTATGTAAACACAACCATGTTTGAGACATATTATCATAGACCATGGAGGAATTTTGTTTCAAAAGATAATTTCAATACAATTCCTTGTCCACTAGACTATGAATTACATGCGAATCTGGAATCATATCAACTACGTCATATGAATAATAATTCTTCAGAAAAAAAAAATTGATAACGAAACACTGGCGAGCACCCGGGCGAGCATGAAGATTATGATATGACATGCAGCCAGATTATTTCCTGTTGAAAAGTTGTCATGAATGGCATTCCGACACAAGTTTTCAAACATCCTGTGAACACTTGCATAATCTTGAATGACACTGATGGCACTAATCCACATGTGATATATTATATAGATATAGGTACAGATTTATTTATATCCTAATAACTTATAGCAACATACGTCTATAAAAAATCTAATGGTATATTTACGAGTGCTTTGGCATTGTACTTGAAAAACGAAATGTCATAGTAGGCGGTTTAATTCAAGAATAACCACCTGATATGTATCTAGTCGGTATTATAAAGAAATCATACTCAACTGTCAGCCGATATCAAACATGTTTTATTATGATATAATATCCTTTAGTTTTACTGAGTGATACAGCGCTTTATGATGCTGTTGTCCTTTCTGGTTGCAAAGGAACAATGCGTGTGAAAGAAAATGTAGAAGAATGAATATTAAGAAAATGCATTGTTCAATGTTTAAAAGAAATGTCTTTCCTGTACGCGACTAATATATTGTATCTTGTATTCATTGAATATATCATATTATCTATATAATTTTTTATTAGATTAGGTATAGGTTTTGTGGGGATGCAGCTGATGTGGGACTCAAAAGAAAACTCTTTTTACTTTTGAGAAAGCTTTCGGAATTTATTTAATTCCTTCGTCAGTCTCTCTAAAATGGAATGCACAATTATAATATTCAGAAGAAATCAGGGGCGGATCCAGGGGGGGGGCCATGGGGCCATGGCCCCCCCCCCTCGGAAACCTCATGGATATGTAAAAATGTAGGTATTTTGAATAAATGAAAAAATTAGTGTATATGTCTTCATAGCTAGAAACTTCGCAACAGCTATGAGAAATTGCGAATTTGTAATATCACTCTGCTGTTTGGCAAATATATTTTCGATAACACTGCCACTCAGTAATTTGCTCCAAACAAAAAACATAGACAAAAAAGAAGCTAACGATTTTTAGTATCACTCTTCTGACGCTTCAAAATAAAAGGGATGATATTCTAAATACTATCTAAGTAGTTCGAATGAAGCCAAACAGAAATTAAAAGAACTGAATGTTGAATTTTCGATGCCGAGAATAACAGGGAGACTGGTTCATAGACTGAATCCTATGGTTTCCTCAGTGGATAACCATTACATAATAACTGTTTTCATCCCAGTATTATCCTTGATCTGAATGATAGACTATCAGAAAATAAATTGAATCTATACAACCTTCACCTTAGTGTGCCATCAATTACTAAAAACAAAACAGATGAGGAAATGAGGTATGAGAAATATACTTGAACAGTTTTCGACCATTGATGAATAATGTAATGTCCTTTCAGAAGATCGTTTCTGAAATGTATACATGGAAGAAAATGAGGGATACTAAGCAAAATATGCCAAACAATGGTATAACTGCCCTGAAGGAATGTAACAAACATTTGTTTCCTAACATAAACATTCTTCTGGAACCATTATATTGCCTGCCTGTAAGTGTTGCATTTTCTGAAAGAAGTGTTTCAACACTCAGAAGGCTGAAAGATTGGATAAGATTCAGAATGGTCCAAGACAGGTTAAATGGATTGGCATTGATGCATATTCATAAGGGCATCTGCAGCAGTCTGAATGTTTTGATGATATCATCCAAAGATACGCTAGGCAGAAGAATAGAAGACTGGAATTTGTTTTCTTTATTTTATATATTTTCATTTTTGTCTGTTTGATTTGTTTTGTTTTTTAAAAGAAATATTTTTATTCACTTTTGAACCCAAATTCTTCATGAGAAATATTTGTTCATTTACTTTTTTATCCAATATGATTTATTACAGAATTTTACATATTATATTGATGGAATAAAAGTTTGAACTTGTTTCTTTACGCCAGTAATTTCGATACTTGAAAGGGAACTGAAGATTTAATGTTTATTATAATCAATTTTTTCAATGAAAAAGCATTTGTCTCAGAAGGTCACCATATAATTTCTCTAATCTTATTGAGCCGTGACTTTCTATGGCCCCCCCCTCAAACATCGTCTGGATCCGCCCCTGGAAGAAATGGGTATTAAAAATTACTTACAGTATATGAGGTTATAGAATTGCAAATCAGAATAATATGTAGTATAAAATTGTAAAAAATGCATAAATTCATGGATATAAAACTAATATAACTTTGTCAAAGTGACAATATGTAACATGAAAAAATACATGGGGTTGAAAAATTAGATAGGTAAAAGGTTGATCAAGATGGAATTGAATTCATGGATATATTGTGTCTTTCATGCCTTTTATTCTCTATTTCTAGAATATTTGAATAAATTACATTTAAATTTTGAATATCTGTTTTTTTATTCATTGAGCATTTTTCATTTTTTATATAAATCATTTCTAAGAAACATCTCTTGAAAGTATTTTTCTCTGATACTAATATCGAGATGTTATCAAAATCCATTGGATGTCCAGTATCATTAACATGTTGGGATAAAGCGCATGCATTTGGTTTTACACGAATATCACTTTTATGCGATGTAATTCTTGATTTCAAATTTCTAGATGTCTCTCCAATATATTTTTGATCACATTCTTTACAATTTATCTCATATACTACATTGTAAAGAATGTGATCAAAAATATATTGGAGAGACATCTAGAAATTTGAAATCAAGAATTACATCGCATAAAAGTGATATTCGTGTAAAACCAAATGCATGCGCTTTATCCCAACATGTTAATGATACTGGACATCCAATGGATTTTGATAACATCTCGATATTAGTATCAGAGAAAAATACTTTCAAGAGATGTTTCTTAGAAATGATTTATATAAAAAATGAAAAATGCTCAATGAATAAAAAAACAGATATTCAAAATTTAAATGTAATTTATTCAAATATTCTAGAAATAGAGAATAAAAGGCATGAAAGACACAATATATCCATGAATTCAATTCCATCTTGATCAACCTTTTACCTATCTAATTTTTCAACCCCATGTATTTTTTCATGTTACATATTGTCACTTTGACAAAGTTATATTAGTTTTATATCCATGAATTTATGCATTTTTTACAATTTTATACTACATATTATTCTGATTTGCAATTCTACAACCTCATATACTGTAAGTAATTTTTAATACCCATTTCTTCTGAATATTATAATTGTGCATTCCATTTTAGAGAGACTGACGAAGGAATTAAATAAATTCCGAAAACTTTCTCAAAAGTAAAAAGAGTTTTCTTTTGAGTCCCACATCAGCTGCATCCCCACAAAACCTATACCTAATCTATTGATTTATACAGCTACTAATATTAATTGAATATATAATTTTTTATTGATATATGAGGTGGATCCAGCGCTGCTCAACGGAAATGTTCCATGAAACAAAAATAGATAAACAAATTCATACTGCTAGGCAGACAGACTAGCCAAGATCGGTTCAGGAACGACACCCATTGGGCCCAGAACCGATATTGAGAATACCCAACAGTACGGCTATGTCCTTCATGAGGGAAATGCTACAGAGGCAGTTCCTTGAAACATGGCGGGACACACCAGGAATGAGACAATCAAAGCTCCATATAAAGGAACCTTCAAAAAGGCTCACGAGAGAGATCCTGTCACTTAATAGAAGGGATCTCAAGATGGAAGTTGGGCTCTTAACTGGGCAAAACCACCTCAACAGGCACCTAGAACTCATAGGGATCAAAGATGATTCCATCTGCAGATGGTGCTTGGAGGATGATGAAACATAATCACACATATTCACTAAATGCCCCGCGCTGGTGCCTTTGGGAACATTGTACTGCACCTGAAGGATGTGAAAGCGACTCAGCTCAGGAAGCTGCTGAATTTCGTCAAAGAAATCGGCATGCCCAGCTGATTCACAAGACAAGTGCTGGGCGCACAATGGGCCCGACTGAAGAGGCCTGAGTGCAGGGGTCTACGCACCCGCCCACCTGTGCAGAGAAGAAGAAGAAGACTGCTAGTTTTCATGATTTTGAATCCAACTAAGAGAGATCCAGTGTGTCGAAGTTGAAATGTTTTTGTCTTCCGCAATAACTTCGACGTTTTGGAGTATGGTTTTAGGCAGAGCTGTCCAAAGCATTAAAGCACTTAGAGCACTTTTGTGTTCCCAAGCACTATTTTGAACCAGCACTTAGTATGCTTAGTGCTTCGAGCATTTTACGAAAATGATTAGTGCTTTGTAATCTCGAAAAGTGTTCTGCAGTGCTTGGGGTCACTTTTCCCCATATAATACCAGGAGACATGTGGTGATGACTGTTGGCACCAGTTGGCACTATATAAACTGACAGTTCTGGCAGTCAGCAAATAAGCATTTCCTAGCGTTTTTTTTCCGTAATTCCAATTAAAAAT